TTTTTTATTCAAAATTCATACTAGTTATATTTTGTATTTCATATTTGATACAAAATTAGTGGTGTTATGTGGTTTACTTTTTCAATAGCAAAGATAATGCTACTTTTATGTGGTCCCACTAGAGAACATGTTCATATGTTAATAAGAAACATTACACAAGTTCCTTATCTTCTTCCAATGCTCTTGTCACAATGCACTATGCTTTGTCCTAATAAACACAAATATCATAAAAAAAAATATTGTAATAGTATTTATAAAACTCATAACCTTAACCTCCAATTTGAGTAATTCAAAAAATAAAAAAAATTAGGGTTTCTTGTGCTATGAGTAGTTACAAAAACTTCTCAACTATCAGGAAGACACTTTCTCCAACCAAATATATTGGAAGACATTTATCACAATTGATCAAAGGAAAACCTTGCGAATTAGATAAATCTAGCTGTGTACTTATATGACTAATCATATATTACTAAATATCTAATTTTGTCACTCAACAAGAACCAAATGAGACATAAGGTTCATGGCTCTCGATATCAATTTGAGAATGACAATGATCCATCTTAGGGTTTATGTTTCTTAACTTCATTTGGAATCCTTTCTAAAATAAACACGAGTGATTGTATATTTTATGGTTCATAATAGCTTGTTTATTAGTTGAACTAAAACAATATATTATAAACATTTCAATAACACGTGGTCTTAAAAAATTTAAAAATGTTATTATTTCTTACATGGCACTTAAAATTATATACTCACAATTTATTGTATCGCATGACATCAAACTATCAATTTTTTTTAATAATAATAACTAGCAAGTTAACAAATTAAATCATAATGCATAGGAATCATATAAAAAAAATAAAGCATGAATATTTTTAATAGTTCTTATATAAAAAATATATTTTATCCTTAAATGTTTTACTTAATAAGATAGTGTGTCTAACCTTTATGGAATAACAAATTATTCACTAGAATTTTTTTAAGTAAGTTTATGGTTATCTTGAATATTTTTTACCAAGGTGTAGTCAAGAAAGTAATATAGATTCAGACCATGAATACACATTTGAAAGTAATTTATTCATTACAAGAAATATTGAAATTACCGACGGTCAAAATCCATCGTTAAATATTTCATGAAATTACCATACTTCAATCACTACGCTACTAGAGTTTTTTTATAATAATTTACAAATAAATTATATTTATATACAAATATATTTATATATTTATATATTTTGATATATTTATATATAATTAAATATTTATTTTTTAAAATTATTTAATTTAATAAATTATTATAAATTAATCTAATTATGATTAAATTAAATTATTAAATAAAAAAATATTTAATTTTTTAATTAGGTGAATAAGTAATTTATTAGAATATATTAAGTAATTATTATATAATTTTACCGACGGATATATTCGTCGGTAATTAATTGTTAATTTATTGACGAAAATACTCATCGGTAAATAATTGTTAATTTACCGACGAATTTATCGACAGATATATTCATCGGTAATTAATTGTTAATTTACCGACGGATATATCCGTCGGTAAGACCAAATTCTATATCCGTCGATAATTTTCATCGGTAATGACTCATTTTCCGATGACTACAAATCCGTCGTTAAAAATATCCGTTGATAATTAAATCATGAATATTTTTACCAGTTCTTATATAAAAAATATATTTTATCCTTAAATGTTTTACTTAATAAGATAATATGTCTAACCTTTATGGAATAACAAATTATTCACTGAAATTTTTTTAAGTAAGCTTATGGTTATCTTGAATATTTTTTACCAAGGTGTAGTCAAGTAAGTAATATAGATTCAGAACATGAATACACATTTGAAAGTAATTTATCTCATATTATACATGATCATATCTCAAAGAACAAAATTGCTTTCTAATATTTTTTTCTATTATTTAAAATAAAAATTACTCAAACATATAAAAATATTAATAAGTAAACATTTATTAAAATCATTTAAAAAATTAAAATTAATCTATGACATACTTGTCACACTTTTTATATATTTGAAATCAAATAAAAACTAACTTATCACTAGTTTATATCATGGTTGAACTAGAAATTTATTAATACTTGTGGAGAATCAATTGACCCAAATCAAATGATTTGTTATCAAAAGTAAAACTATTTTGGACATAAGATTATCTACTAGGTGCTAGGTGCTTTCATCATGAGTTGATCTCATTAGATGATATAATATTGGATAACCTCTCACCAATTGATCCTTAGGTCAATATTGCAGTCTAATGCTCTTGTTTCACAAAATTTAATTATAATTATAACACCTCAAAAATTTGATCGATGTCGTACTCGGTCAAATAATTAAAACAGATAATGTAGTACTAGGAAGCTTTCCTAGGTCGTCTCCCAAAGATCACGAATTTCTATCAAAGCTTATCAATTTTTAAAATTAGAACAGTAACAAAAAAAAGGGAAGTTTTTCAAAATTAAAATATTAGATGAAACAGAACAAAAACAAATTATAAAAATGCGGATTAAAAACAGATTAAAATGCAATTGATTTCCTGATTCTAATGCAGTGTCACTTATCCTAGATTACGAAATTAATTCGAAATTAACCAACTAAGCGAAGATAAATCCCAAATTATATTCTAATTCAAAATTAATCAACTAAGCGAAGATTAATCTCAAATTAGCTTTAACCCTTGTTCCAATATGAAATTAACCAACTAAGCGAAGATTAATCCCAAATTTTCCTTAACCCTTATTCCAACATGAAATTAACCAACTAAGCGAAGATTAACCCCAAATTATCCTTATACAATTAAGCATTGCATACATCACATAATCTCATCTCTAACACAGAATTAAGCAAACTGTGATATTAGTTTTGGTTTATTAAGCATAAACATATTATAATTCAACACTGAGATTAGAAGATGAAGAGTGAAGAGAACAAACGAAATGAAATTGAATAACAAAACCTCAAAGATCTACTTACATTCTTCTCAGAAAATCAATACAAAAATTTAGCTATCCATGGAAAGTTGAAAACGCAATAGAAGAAACATAATTAAAATTGAAACAAGAATTTAAAAATAATGACAGAAGAGTAAACAAACTTGAATATACATTGCAGAAGATGAAAGGTGGAAGTGTGGTGGCTGCGTAGTCCTTGTGTGATATCCGTCTTTTGATGTGTGATGTGTCTCTCTTATATAAATAACCCTAACCCTAATCTTTATTGAGGTTTGGGCTCAACTGGTCCATGAAACACATCATAAGTTGGCTTTAGTGCAGGTCCGTGAACTTCAAACACGTGCAGTATTTTCAATACTTATCCAAATTAAGCGATTTCGGTATCCTTTGAAAGCCTTTTGAGTTAGCTTTAAAACGCCACCATTGCTACTATTTTTGGAGGTCTAATGAATTTAGGAGACTTAAATTACTGAAGCATGTCCATTGGGCCGGCCTGGTGCGCTTGACCCGTGTTGGATAATTTATGTAAAATCCAATTTATCTCAGAATTGAATGATTTTGGATCCTATGGAAAGCTGAATGTGTCTAGTTTATAATGTTTTGAAAATAATGATTTTTGGAGATCTGTAGAAAAAATGATAAATAAAACAGTAAACCAATGTTAATACCCGTATAGAATACAATATGACAATTGACCCAATTTTTCAAGCCAAAAATTGCTTTAAACTGTAAAATGGCATCTAGTCCAATCTTCTAGGCCCAAAATTGCTTTAACTGTCCTAAAATTAATAATGAGAAAAAATTAGATCAAATGGATCCAAATTAATTAAAATCTGAATTATTGGCCCAATGAAGCCCAATCAATGAAAATGCACTAATAATAGACAATTAAACACAATACACCAATTAAGATAAGTACATAAAGATAAGAAAATGCGGAAAAATAATGACTCATCACAGTCTAATGCTCTTGTTTCACAAAATTTAATTATAATTATAACACCTCAAAAATTTGTCATATAAAATCTTCTAAATACAATATATTAAATTATATTATTGGGTAATTTAAATATATTTATAGTAAAACAAAAAATTATTACAAATATATATTATTATTGTTAAATTATTATTAAAAACAAATTAAATATTTATTAAAAATTATTATTATTATTTAATTTATAAAGATAAAAAAAGAAAATATTAAATTTTTCCTTTAAAAAAATATTAATTATTAATTACATCTTTAAAAATAATAATTATATATATATATATATATATATATATATATATATATATATATATATATATATATATATATATATATATATATATATATATAAAGATAAAGCTAACTTATCCGGTGAAGAGATAAATATTATCTTAAAAGTAATCATTAATTATTAATGGTCTAATTAAATAAAAAAAAGAAAAAAAAGAAAGATTAGTGGTGGTTATCAAATTTTTAGAAAAATAGGTTTTATTATTTATAATTTTTTTACCTCACTTCCTTTTTAATATTTTTTAATATTTATAATATGTTTTATGTATCTCAGTTAAAAATTCTTATTATATAATAATATCATATATAATATAATTAAATTATAACCTTATATATTATTTTTACTTATTTATATATATATTTATAAAATTCAAATTAATATCTTAATAAATAAAAAATTATAATGATATAAAAACTTTAAATTATAAACTTAATATTATGGGTTAAAGTTTGCTAAAACTTAAATTATATATTAGTTATTTGTAATTATTATTATAAGTTTTTAATAATTATTAGTATATCATATTAAATAAACGGAAATAAAAATAAAAACCTGTAAATGTGATAATTAATCACGCAGGAAGAAAAAAATGTTATTTACCGGTGATACCAGGTCGTAGGAAGAAAAAAATGTTATGGAAAAATAACAAGAAATATAAAAACTTAAACTGAAAAATATGTTTTTAAAATTTAAAAATTGAATTCAAAAAATTTAACCCTGATTATTTATATTGGTACGTAGGTAGGAATCGCGAATCTCTTCGTCTGCGACCTCTTCCTGCTAAGTGCTCTTTCTCTCTCTCCGTGCCTTCGTTCTTCTTATTCGATAATTAAAAACACAAAGCAACAAACAAACTTCACTTTCTCTCTCTATCTAACTCCAACAAACAAGCCCCTTCTCTCTCCACCTCTACTTTCTCTCTCTAGGGTTTCGACGCGAACTCTCACTCTCGCTCTCTCTGCTCAACACGATTGTAGGGTTCCGTCTTCGCGCGAATTACGTAACAGTCGTGATCAACCAAGTTCGAATCTCCGCGTTTCTCGTAGATTGCTTGCTTAGGTTTGTGAATTTCGACTTTTCCGTGCTTTCGCTTTTGTTAAATTCTGCGTTTCCGTGAATTTTGATGTGTCTGTGAGTTTTGATTCTGCTTACGTGTTGCTCCTCAGAGTTGGGAGATGTGAGAGAACGCGAAGCGAGGTGGGAATTTCATTTTTAAAATTTTGTGAAAAATTGTATTTGGAAATTGGCGTCTATTACGAGAATCTCGATTTTGGGTAATTTTGTTAGTTTTATTAATTGCCATGATTAATTGAGCATTTCATAGTTGAAGCCATTTTGCATTTTTCTTGAGGACAATAAGCTCGTAGAGTATTGAGTTGTAGTAATTGTGGCTAGCTGGTTTAATGAGTTTTCTGTTTTTGAACGGTGTAGGATTGTTGCGATTACTGGCACAGAAGGTTGTTGTGGGACATTAAGGTTTATACTGTGGCGGGCGAATGTTGTTGCTTGATGCTTGATGATTGTTGCAATGGACTTGAATGCCTCGCCGGTTCCAGAGGAAGATGAAGATATTTTGGAGGAGAAGATACATGTTCAAGAGTATCATGCGCCTGAAGAACGCATAGAAACTGGAGCTGATATAGCACGCCGGGTACCCTTCATATACAGATTTTTGTCTACTTATCCTTTTTAGTATCATGACAGTGACCTAGTTTGTTGGCTATGTGGTGCCTTGGACTAGGACTGCTGTGATGGTACTTCCTCATATTATGGAATTAACTTTTTAGATTTTTTTTTATCATTACGCAGTTTCATCAGGTTTAATTGTTACTTGTGTGTTTGCGAGGTACATGTTATGGGCCTCATTATTTTTCATTTCAATTTTACTGGTGATAAGGTGATACTTGAAAAACCCTTTTATGAGCAGCCAGTATAGAACATCCTATATTTTCTACCATAGTGTAAAATTGATGCTCTGGAAATGAACATTTAATGCTTGTTGATTGCCAGATAGATGGATATATTATATACTATCCATACAATAATATTTGCACAATTTCGTGATCCCTTTAGTTTTTCTGGTATGATGATGATTTGAACATTTAATATTAGTGCTGAACAGTTAACAAAGCATCTAATGCAATTCATTCAGGCTCGGTGAATTTAGAAATCCCTTTCTGCTGTCACCTTCATTGCAAACTACGTGAAATCTTCATATAGATTGACTTCAGTTCTACTTCTCCTTTTTTCTTTATTTGAATCCCAAAATCAAAGAACCCAGTACCCAGGAAATCTTAACTCAAAAGTTAATTTTCATGTTTAAATGGTTAAATAGAGTTACAAGCGATGTAACCCTATTTTGTAACTTCATCTTTAAAGTTCCAAAAATTCAGGCCAAACACTATCGAAGGAGCTATGCCAATACTACAGCAGCATCAGCAATTGCAATCAAGTACTCCACCAATTTAAAAAAAAATCATATATTCTTGTGAATGCATGCAGTTATGTATATGCAGGAGAAGGAATTCATTTTGTAATTTTATGACCCGAGACATTATAGTATAAGTTTGTTAGTTGTTGAGCATGTTTCTGGCTGGTTATTTTGATGAGGCGATGGTGGTAATTGCATTAAATACTTCACTTTGCTGTCTACCTAGTTGCAATAAAGAAGGACTATGATTAACGACTAAATGAATTTGGGGTAATTCAAAATTTACTGCCAAATATTGTGTAATGTAGAGTATCTGAGTTAAGCGAATTTAGGCTTTGAGTTGTAAGAATTGTTTTTCCTCTATCTTCATATTCCTCTACATATTGACAGCTTTTGTGTGTGAATTAATGTTTTTTTTTGTTTGTTTAAAATTAGTCGGATTCTTTTGGGGTATAATTAAGCCAAACCAAAATTGTGCATAATGGGCAGAAAAAAATTGATAGATATTTTAAAAAAAGACCACAACTTCAAAAATTGTTGTTGTGCTATGTGTTAAGTTTTAATTAGAGCAGGATGAATTCCTGAACAATAATTCTTTCTGAGAAACCAATCATACATCTGGCATAAGAGTTTGAAGCTGGTTTGTGTTTTTACCTGTCTTTTCATTTTCACAATTCCTTTATTACTGCTTGTTTTAGGAGCGTGAAGAAAGAAAGAGACGGTTGAAGAGAGAACGGCCAGATGACAGACCTGTTCATGTGTCACAGTCACCTGGATATGATAAGCTATTTCCTGCTAAGAACCATAAATCATATGATAAAAGTAGGCTTCCTCCAGGTAAGAGTTTCTTTCATGAAGCACTTGCTGCCTTGCTTCTGGTAATAACTAGTGATGCTAAATTAAGATATATCTTAATAGAATTTTATCCTTGTGACATTTTTTGTGTGGGTTTATGTATTGTGGATGGTAAATGTTGTACAAAAGAGGCTATGACGCTGCTATGGAGAAAGTTTTGGTGGAAATCCCACAGACTGCCATTCTATGGTGGTGGCATCGCAGGTTCTTTTGATATGGGCTATGGTAGTCAGGAACTGTTGATGGTAATTGCAACGACTATGGTTGAGTTCCTTCTGAAAAGAGGAAAGGAGCTGGGTCATGTGACTTGACCTGAACCCAAACAAAGTGGTAAACACCCAAAAACAAAAAAAAAAAGTCTGGGTTGGGTCACCTGGCCTGAAACTATGCCCTAAACATCTTAAAAACCATGAAAAAGAATAGAAGAGCTTGGGTCACCTATCCAAATCCCTGTCATAACTCAACTTTTATTTGTCTATTTTTATTGAACTCAACAACTTCATTTTCAATTAGAAGGCTTTTTTTTTCTCTCTGGGTTAGGTGGTTAGGTGGTGATCCCGCAAACAGTATTATGTATACTAAATTTAATCACATTAATATTTTTATAATTTTTTTATTAAATATATTTGATAATTTTAGTATTACATTTTATTATAAAATTAAGTCGACCCCTGCATATAATAGAATATTAGTGATTAAAATATGACATAATATATGATATGATGCGTTTAATTAATCATATCATACCCCCTTATCATAAAATGTCATCCCACATCATTTTAGTATATAGAAGTTTGTAAGGTCAAACTAGTATAATATTCCTACAAATATTAATATGTAGTTTCAATCTAATAATGACAATCAAAATCTTGTCCTTATATATTTCAGCTTATTAGAAATGTCAACAGTTAATACTGGGGTCATGATATTTTAGATGGATCATAATTAACAAGACATAAAGTTTGATCCTAATGTCGTTATAGATTCTCACTTACTAGATTATTTGTGTTTACTAATTTTGTATTTGTATAAAAATTTGATCAAATCATAATAGTAAGATGTTAAAAATTTGTCTAAATGTTGAGAAAATTCAAATTCATCCATAATAATAATAATAATAATAATAATAATAATAATAATAATAATAATAATAATAATAATAATAATAATAAAAGTCAAATTTCATTAAACAATGAATTTATTATCATAATATTTGTAATAATTATTTTTATTTATCTTTCCGAAATAATGTTTATATTTAAAAAAATGAAAATGAGACAAATTTTTAAAAAGAATTCGTCTATCTCTTTTACTTTTTTTTCTTTCTTTTCTTTTCTTGGACATATATTTGTCCATTTAATTTGGAAGATTATGAACACATGCCTTGAAACCTATAAATATAAATACCACTAATTAATTTTTGATATAGTTGATATATATATATATATATATATATATATATATATATACATATATATATATATATATATATATATATGATTAATCCTTTTATAATTTTTATAAAATAATAATTAAATCTTAATATAAAATTTATAAAATTATTAAAACTCCGTAACTTTAATCTAGTTTTTAATAATAATAAATATATTATAAATACTAATAATTCATTTTAAAATTAGGATAGGCAATAGCTTAATCTAGTTTAAAAACATTAATAAATAAACGTACACCATAACAAAAGATTTTAAAAGTATTAGAATTATTTAAAATATGATTACAAATTCCTAAAAGTCCCTCGAATTCTTACAAAATAATAAATAAGTACTAAAACTAAAAATTTCAAAATTATTAAAATTATATAGTATAATTTAATTTTTAAAAATTAAAAATAAATCTTTAAATCTTATAATAATTTTGAAATTAATAAAAACCCCTAAATTTATGGTAATTTCCATAAAAATATGAATATACCCAAACCCTATAAAAATATTTAAATGATTAAAATAACAATTTATGTTACATCTTAGAATAAAAAAGCACGTAAATCCTAGATCTTAAAAATAAATTTAAAAATCCCGTCATAATTGCATAAAGATATTCAAAAAAATTGCATAAACTAGTGTTTCTAGTGAAAATTTTGGTTGTTTTCGATGTCTTAAAGACTTAGATTTTAACCAAATTTTAACCACAAATTCTTTTTATTTAGGCTAGCAAATAATTTTTCAATCAAAAAAATATATGTAAATAAAAAATGTCACAGTATCGAGTCTTCATAAAGCATGCATAATAGAAACGCGGAAAACGCAACATAACATACATACTGAAATCGAAAAGCTCTTCCTTGTTTTTTTGTATTTTTATTTAAGAAATTCGAAAATATAAAGATTAACAATAGTAGTAAAGTAAGCAGGAAATGACATAAAATTAAAATATCGAGACAAAAATGTATTGTTTTAAGCGTAAATGTAGAATCTTAAAATGGTGTAAGTGTAAATGCAGAATCTTTAAATTGCATAAATGAAAACACATAATCTTTAAATTGTATTAGTGTAAATGACGAATCTTTTGGTAAAATTTTATTTACTTTCCTATTTTTACCTTATCCCCATTAGGATTTTATTAAGTTATATTCATCTTCTAAAAAAACTCATTTTCCTTATTTGCTTAATACAGATGATACTGTAAATATCCCAACAACTCACATCCAAGATTCTCCTTCACCATCTCTTGTTGAACAACCAATATCTCCCTTAGTCCAAGAAGAGGTACCATCTGTTGAACTTATTTCGTCTCTATTGCCTCAATTGAATGATCCTATCCCTGAAGACTTACCAGAATATCGAACTATTATTGAAGAAGATCCATTTTCGATTCTCGATATTTTATTATCTGAAGATGTTACTCCCTCAAGTCAATCATCTCAACCGCCTGTGACATGAACTGAAGAAGCAGACAAATTGATAAAACGATTCATATCTTTCTTCTACTCTTCACCTTTTGAAGTCTTGGTGAAATTGCTCGAGCAAAAATAACTTTTCCAAGAGATCCTTACTGCTGTAGAAGCATTCCCCAATGATAGTCTTCCAAAGAGCTTCGATGTCGAAGTAGTAGCGGTTACCGATTTATTTAACAAAACTTACTTTACAAAGAAGAAGAAGAAACATTCTATAGCTAATGAATTGACCACAATTTCTACCTTCCAAGTTGAAAAATCGAACTTGCTAAAAAGTCAAAAGCTTGAACTTGAAGAGGCATCAAAAGAACAATCTTTGTGTAGAGGTGAGATCGAAGAGTTGGAGAAAAGACTTCAACACCTCAAAGGACAAGATGACTTCCTTACAACCAAAATGAATTCGATCAAATCTTCGGCGAAGGACAACTTTGGACAAAGCATGGAATGCAAAAGAAAAGTGATTATCGAAGAAAATTTGAACATCTCCTCTTGGACTCAATTATTGACAGATTTTGATCAGCTCAAATCTCAATATCAAGTTTTGTAAAACATTATACTTTAATTAATTGTGAATGCTTATTTTCCTTATTTGAGGTTTATAATTTTTTAAGTACTTCCTGTTTATCGATAATACTTTTTTATTACTATGTCAATCAATAATCGAATAAACATTACTCGATAATACTTTAACAATTTCAAAAGGCTCTTCCCAATTCGGTGACCATTTGTCATAATTTTTAGACTTCTTATCCATCGGCAAAACAGATACAGAATACAGAAAACAACAAACAACTCCTAATTCTAAAAACAAGCTCAGATTATTATAATAAATTGTTAGACAGCAATTACAGAAAACAAAGATTCCTACAGAATTGAATTATTTACACAAACATCTACTATGCTGGGGCAAAACAACATAATGAATGGCTTATGTCCCCGACAACGATGCCATTTTGATAGCGTTGTCGAGGTACTATCAAACAATACTAGGTTCTCAAGATTATTTTGCAAAATAGTGGGATTAACCTAGGTCGAACCACAAAGACATAAACCAATGGTATTTTGTTGAATTATCACAAACTAATAAAAGAATTGAGGGAGGAATTTTATCAAACAGTTTGTATAAAAAATTTATAATAGCAGCAAAATTGAATCACGCTTGATGAAAATCCAATTCAAGAATCACAAATCCGCAGCAATCTTAATTAAATCGAATCCAATTACAACCTATTTCCGAATTAGGAACGAAAAATGCAATCGCATTCTATGAATCCATTACCGTATTGAATCCGATACATTGTTCAATTAACTAGAAAATAATTTGTATTTAATAATGCGTTCATAATCGTGAAACAACAACAATTTAAAGCAAGAGATGAATTCAGATTTATACCTATTTTATGCGTTTTGATTTTCTTGAATCGGTGTAACTTTGTAGTTCTCCATTTCAATCGATGATGTTGAATTAATGCGAACAAACATTTAAATTTTTTTATCGAGAGAAAAGATAAGAAAGAGAAGATGAACAGTAAAAAGAGTATAGGAAAGTTCTGCAATCTATATTCTGAATTCTCTCTAAAAAAAATGGCAGAAAAAGAACCTCTCGCTTTTAATGTAAGCTACAAAAGTTTATAGACATGATAATTGGGCCTAAACTGATGGACTAACCCATTAATGATTTTTTTTTTTAACAACTAATCAACTAAAACAATATAGATAGGAAAATATGTAGAATCCTGCACAGGGCTGAGAATTTGTGGTGAATGTCTGGGCATTAAAAAGTCCGAAATGGGTTTTCCCTTCAACAGAGAAGTTGTAGATCTTCCTCTTAGCTTTCTAGGGACACCAAGTTTGCCCAATTCCAAGTTGTATAGTTTCAGAAATGACCTGTACAAGAATCAATGTCAAAGTAGAATTTTATTGTAGAAATTTACAAGATTTTACAATTAAATCCTAAATGGCTACTTAACACAAATCTAAACTAATACACTAAAAATATAATACTAATAAGACTAAATTTCACCAAAAACAAATAAAGATAGATGTATCAAAATGTGATTATCAAATACCCCCACACTTAATTCTTTGCACTCCGGGGCAAAACTCAAAATTTACACACAACTAAAGAGAATAAAAAATGAGGAAGTAATTACAAAAATTTGAAAACTTTCTAATAAATTTTCAATGCATAGAAAAGAGAAAGAGAACAAAAACTCCTAGAATCAAAGTAACAACCCAGCTATGAGACAAGAATGACATTAAAAACAAGAAAGAATGCAAGTCAAATTAAAGAAAGACTCAAAAAAATGTTAGAACCTCACAAGCAAGTGTTTAGCTATCAACTCTCAAGTGTTTAGGCTAGTGTTTACACTCAACACATCATGAAACCAGCACATC